TGAGCAAGACGACCTAGTTAGAAAATAAAATCACCAAAAAAAAGCCAACCCTAGTTCACCGCACAGTGGCGACCAGCAATTCTGTGTTTATAAAATGTATTGCACTGGTGTGATATTGTCTCTTTCTTAACTTAAATAAAGCATTCGTCTTTATAATGTGTGTAGTGTGTACGTATTCAGATATAGACTATTATTTTACTTTTTACAAATATTCTCTGCCAGAAGTCATCTCATCGGCCAAAGTATAAGCCACAAGTTATCTTTATCTTTAATTCATTCTTCTAATTCTTCTATTTCGTTTCAGAAATGTTCTCCTCCTCGGATGTGTTAGTCATCGTCATTCAAAAACGACCAACAATGTCAGATAGAACTTTGTAATCCTAGGGACTCGACTTGTCAAACTTGATCTCTACCTGATTTGTTCCAACTAACTGGGCCTAAGCCATGCAGAAGTGACGGGACACACGTGCATGACTGCGGTGAGACAGCGTGGTGAAATCATGCGCTCGTCAAAATAATGAAATTGAAGAAACTGGCATATTTCCGTCGGACCGACAATTCTTATCGAATTTTTGTGAGGGTTTTTTTGGCTTAACGCCATTGTTGTCTAATTAAGAACACATATCTGGGTAGATTTTACTGAAAAACGTTGACTAAAGGCATAAGAAATATAAGTTTACAGTTTCCACAGTCAATCAAGCTTTAGAAATAACCAAACTTTGGCGGCCATTTTCTCGATAATTCTACCTTTGAAACCACGCGACCCCACTTTCGTCAATCTCAAATTTCTTTACTTCTATTCAAGACAGATGGGTATTTTTTCACCAATAGCAAGACCTATGAACAAGCGTTACGATGATACTAATAATTCCACTTGCCCAAAAATTGACGAGCGCCTGATTCCACTACGTCGTGACACTAAATTGAAAATAATTTTAAACTTCCACTTTCTTAATCCAGTTTGGGAATTTTTGAGTTACAAGGACAAGAATAATAAATACTTATAGTATGTGTGTGTGTGTGTGTGTGTGTGTGTGTGTGTGTGTGTGTGTGTGTGTGTG